CACGCCGCAATCCCTTCTCCTCCATTCTCCTCTCGGGATCTTGGGCATGCACGCACACGCGCCCGGCGTGAGTTCTAAGCCACCGGGTCCGGGACGCGAACCGCAGTCGACTACATGGAGTCCAGCGACATAGCCATTACGCTAACTGCTGGTTCCCCCCTTATCATTTTCTTCATCTTCCAGGATACCAATTATCTAGCTGTCTGGGCACTTAATGGTATCTAGTCATTTTTGTATGTTGTCCTCATTCTTCTTGGTTATTTTCTCTGTCTTTATGATAATTTTTTTCTAGGTCAGAGGTTTTATCTTGTACATCTGAGATTTGATCTTCTGCGTTACCTAATCTGCTTTTACCACCTTCCAGGAAGGTTTCGCTTTTCTATATTATAGTCTTCATCACTAACAAGTCCATTTGATTCTTTTTTATGGTGTCTATTTCGTTCCAATTGTGAATGGGCTTCCTCTTCTCCTAGAGCCCCCTGTCTCTTTTTTTCTTGCATCTTCTGGAGTTCCTTGTCTCATTTCTCGTCATTTACTTTTGTCACTATAAATATTCTGAATTGCTTATCTGACATTTCCATGAGTTTCCTAGTATTGTCTCTAGATGAAGAGGAATTGATATTTTCCTTCGGGGAGAAATATTTTCTAGGTTTCTCATATTTCTTATGCCCCTGGGATGGTTTCTAGTAATCAGGTGAATTATGTTTTTTTGTTTTTTTTCCCAGAAGTATGTATTGAGGGGCCAGCAGGTAGTGTGGTAGTTAGGCACTGGAGTCCCACATGGCTGTCCATAGCTCAAGTCCTGGGCCTGGCAGCTTGCTTTCTCACTTTCCCTCTCTCTGTCTCTGATGAGCGCACATGCCTTATAGCAAATTGTAAAAACAGTAATGAATAAATAAATAATTCATTAAAAAAGAAAAACATATATATTGAATTATCAGTGATGTGTTTACTCAGCCGTGGTGCACAGTTCCAAAACCCACCCCACTCGATTCCGTTCCCATGCATCCTTGTGTCTGCTGCTCACTGTCTCCCAACCGAGCCCTCGGAGTTTCTGTCGTCTACATTATTCTGTTTCTGTGCTAGCAAGTGCTTTAGTTTCTGCCATAAAGCGCAGACATTTGGTTAGTGTTAAGTGGGGTATTTGTCTCTCGTAGTTTGACTTACTTCACTTAGCATTATATCATCTAGGCTCATTCACTTCATGTCAAATGACAGGATTTTGTTTTTCATCATTCACTCCTGCTTTCTACATTTTAGTAGATGTGACCTTAGACAAGCCATTTCACTTGTTGACCCATGGTCTCCTCATCTGAAATAGGGAAAAATCATACCTGGAAAGTGTGAAAAGACTATGTTTATGAGAACTCCTAGCTAACTGAGTACTCAACAAATGTCTCCCTTCTCTCCAGAAACTCCACAGCTCCAAAGCAAGTTAAAAATATTCAAGTACAAATCTAAATTCTTACTTATTTATTTAAACATCTGTCTATCTGTTTGTCTGTCTGTCTGTTTGTTTGTTGTGATATTTAAGCTGCCACGTCCCAGACTTGAACAATAGTCCGTCATATGGAAGTCTAGCACCTCAACCACCATGCCACTCACTGGCTCCCAAATATGTCTAACTTCTTTGCATATCCCCATAATGCCTTGCACAATAGCTTGTATACAGAAGAAGCCTCAAAAACATTCACCGATTGACGCCCATGGAGGAGCACCTAAAGAAGTAAGTCAAGAGATACAAATAAAAGATCATAAGGGCCAGAGACGGTGTCATGGTTAAGGTTCTGGACTCCCACATGGCTGATCCCAGTTTGAATCCCAGGCCTGATGACTTGAAACTCAAACCAGGCACATGTTCATGTGTGCCCAAAATCCCAAGAGGAGAACAGAGGCAACAGGACTGCAACATGGCTATCCACTTGGGGAACTGGATTCTCACTTTCTCTCCCTCTCTTTCTCTCTCTCTGGTGATCGCACATATTCTATGTTATAAACCTAAAAAGAATTAAAATAAAAGACCGTAGAATACTAACTACAATCAAAATCAAGAGCAATGTGATCTAAGTCTCAACCAGTCTTGAGGGACTTGGCACCAAATAGGCTCTGATAAATATCTGCTGGAAAAAGTGAATCAGCGTCCTAGCACTGTCTCCATGGGATAGACACTAGAACTGTGAGGCGCTAGATCCTCCCATGGTACACCTGTGAGGGAGCTAGGAACCCTCTCTCCCCACCAGATGCAGACAATGTTCTTTACCTTAGACTGTGAGTAAGTAAATACTCACATGTCGAAAGCGCTGAACTCCAGCGTCAAGCGAGCAGGCAGACCAGCAGAATCACCTGGACAGAAGCATAGTCACGCTTTCAGTGCCAAGTTAGAACAACAGCATGCATAACACGAATGTTTTGATGGTTAACTTTGTTCTTTTTGTTGAGCCCAAAGTGCTACATCCAAATGCTGATCATCTATGATACAGAGATGACATGTAAAGATAATGGCAGAATGTGACAAAGCTCTTGGGAACACAAGAGATTTGCCAAGAATATAAAAAGGATTCATTGGGGAAAAAAAATTTTTCAATCTCTTTTCCCAGCAATGCTAGGCCATCACAGTTATTTGGATAAATAGATTTGCATTCTACTACTCCTTTTTTTCTTCCAAAAACAAAAGAAAAGAAATGAAAATGAACTTGGGTCAAAAGCCAGGAAGTAAAATGGAAACTAGTGAAGAGTACTGATTAGCAAAGAAATGGGTGTCCCTTTCTAAAGGAAAGCAGACACGATATTTGAGGACAAAGAAGAAAACAGAAGGTGGTGGAAGATGGAGTTACTATCACCTACCATTGTAGTAATAACCCTTGATGTCCTTGGGTGCTTCATCCAGCCGATACTCATTCAACTTCTTCTGGGTCAACTCATGCCAGAACCCAACATCCAAGGCACTGCTAAAGGGGGCAAACTGCAATTTGGAGAGCCCCGGATCTCCCATGGCTGCTGCCATTATCTGTTGCCAACTAAAAGACAAAACAGAACACAGCAAAATGCTGAAGAGCATAACCACACAACACTTGTCAGAAAACATTTATAATAGGGACCAGCAAATAGTGTATCAATTATGATACTGGACTCCCACATAGTTGACCGCGGTTCAAGTCCCAGACCCAGCGGCTTAAAACGGATGCCGGGCATCTGTGTGTGCATGCCCAAAATCCCAAGAGGAGAATGGAGAAGGGATTACAGTGTGGCCATCCTCTCTGAGGGGTGATTTCTTGCTTTCTGTCTCTCAAGCAAGTGCACACACCCCACTATTTGAAAAAAAGGTGGGGGGCCAGCAGGTGACGTGGTGGCTAGGGGCGTTCAAATAAACAAAAAAATCAAGGGTATGGAGAGGAATATGGGCTACCTTTAGGCATAACTTTTTTAAAAAGTTGTAGTGAAAACCTCTAACATGTAATGTATGCTCTTGACCACTCTGAAGTACACAGTCAGTAGTATGAATTATATTCACAGCATACCATTGTATCTGTTGTAAAACAGATCCCCAGAACTTTTGCAAAACTGGAACTGTAAACTCTTTAAACAACAACTCCCCAATCCCTCTACCCCAACCCCTGACAATCACTATTCTACTTTCTGTCTATATGAGTTTGAATATGTTAGATACCACATACAAGTGGAACCACAGAGTATGCGTGTTTTTGTGACTGGCTTATTTCACTTGAGACACAACACTCTAATTATCCAGAATAATGGGCGTATGCTGTTAAGTTTAGTCTCCTCATGACACAAGAGATTTCTGTAACCCCTTCAGGTCCTAACTTTTCTTATTAGCCAGTCTGACTGATGCATAAGTGTTACTTCTTCGACACAGTTTCGGAAGTTTTCGCCATCCTGTGTGGTCCTAGAGAATTCTGCAGTACAGAATCCTAACAAATCCAACCAGCTAGAAACTCAATGATCCAGTTCTGTCTGGAGCATTCCCAGCTAAGGAGAATGAGAGTACTTTTCTCCCACCTGCATTTCTTTGAAATCTTATGCTACATTTTATTTATTTATTTATTTATTTATTTGGTTTTTGCCATAGTGTGTGTGTGTGTTCACCAGAGAGAGAGATATAGTAGGAAAGTGAGAAATTGCTTCTCAGGAGTATGCTCATATCTCAATCTCCTCCATTCTCCTCTCGGAGTTTTGGGCATGCACGCACATGTGCTTGGCATGATTTTCAAGTGGCTGGGTCCGGGACTCAAATAGTGGTCAACTGTGTGGGAATCCTGCACCTTAACTGCAAAGCCGCCTGCTGGCCCCCTTATGTTTCATTTTGAAATTGCATGGAAATTTTGCCTTTTATGCCGTAATATATATTTTAATATTTCATTTCCCTCTTCAAATCACCTAATAAATTGGAGCCTCCCAGCAATCATGCACGTGTATGCTGTAACCTCCTATATCCCTTGCACACTCCCAGGGTTCACACGCCCCAGCTGAGGAGCACAAAACTAGAGGAATATGTGACAACTGTAAAACACACACACTTAAGAGGTCCCTTCGCTTTCCATCATATCCAATTACTTCCCGGCCAGACACAGCAGAATTTCTGCGGCAGAATGGGACACAATATTCTAAAGACAGCGCACATCCATTTGTGAGAGGCTTTGACTCAGCTTTGTGTCAAGATGACTAAAACGCTTTCCGTTTTCCAAGCTGGGAGGACTTCAGAATTAGAGAGGAGGAGATCTGGGTGGACAGTAACTATGTTGAAATGCAAAGTTAGTGCTCTACGTGCAAAGAACTAAAAGCCAAGGAGGAGGCATGAGTGTGGGGAGAGCCGTGAAAAGGGAGGTGAGCCTGAGCGATGAGAAGCACCGAAGGGGGGAGATGGGGAGAGGCGGGAGGCACATGAAGAGAAGAGAGGCCGTTCAGGTAGGGAAGTGTCTGCACGAGCCTCGCTGTCCTTAGTGGGGGCCTCGCACTTGCAAGAGCGGGACACATGGAGCTGTGTGGGACATATGGCGGACACAGGTGCTGAAGCTCCACACGAGAGGTGGAACAATTCCCTCATAGGGAGCCAGTGGTGGTTCTGCACAGGGACTATGAGAGGGTCTTCCAAAAGTTCATGGGCGATGCATATTGTGAAAAAACTGCATGATTTTCTTTTTTTTTCTTTTTCTTTCTTTTCTTTTCTTTTTTTTTTTTAACCAAATATGCTCATACTTGAATCCCATGTATCCATGAACTTTTTTTTTTTTTTGGAGAGGTTTTTGCTATAGGGTGTGTGCGCTCGCCAGACAGAGAGAGACAGAGACAGAAAGCGAGAAATCACCCCCCCCCTGGGGGGTAGGATGGCCACGCCGCAATCCCTTCTCCTCCATTCTCCTCTCGGGATCTTGGGCACGCATGCACACACGCCCGGTGTGAGTTTAAGTCACCAGGTCCGGGACTCGAACCATGATTGGCTACATGGGAGTTCAGGGACATAGCCATTCGCTAACTGCTGGTTTCCCTCCATGAACTTTTTGAAGTCCCTTCATGTGGTGTAATTCTGCAGTGGCGAAAAGCTTTGAAGGGGACTGACAGGGAAATTCGTTCCTAAGGATCTGTGAAAACCTGGACTTGAGCAGAAGAAGAGCCCCTGGAAAGGAGGAGACATTTTCAGACAGAGGAGACCTAATTTGGTACCTGGGGGGGACTCAGGGAATGAGTAAAGTGTCCTTGGTGGGCAAGCTGTGACTGGCTACAACTGTAGCTGGACTGACCGAAAAGACAATTGAGGGGCAGTCAGTCTCAGGAGGATAATGATAACCGAAGCCCATTGCACCTGTGAGCCACAGCAGGGCCAAACGAGGCTGAGCCAAGGAGACAGGAGCAGGGACCAGCAGATGGCGTAATGTCTATGTCACTGGACTCCAATGTAGCCGACCGCAGTTCGAGTCCCGGACCCGTGGCTTAAACTCACACCGGGTGCGTGTGTGTGCATGCCCAAGATCCCGAGAGGAGAATGGAGGAGAAGGGATTGCAGCATGGCCATCCCCCCCTCAGGGGTGATTTCTCGCTTTCTGTCTCTCTGTCTTTCTGCTGAGCACACATGACCTATAGCAAAAACCTCTCCAAAAAAAAAAAAAAAACAAGGAGCCAAACCCAAGAAGGAGGACTTGGAGGGCTTTAGGAGGCCTGGACACTGAGGTAACAGGTAACGCAGGGGAGAATGATTATTCCTGGAAGTTTCTCAGAGAAACAAAAGGCACAGCCAATAGTCCTACAGAATGTCCAGAGTCAGGAAGAGAGAAGAAACAGAGCAAGCAAGCAAGCAGTCGTTGCTTGCGAGGATGGTCCATCTTCCAGGCCAGGCAATATAAAACTCAGAAGAGTCATGGTAAAAGGACACTGGAGGAGTCAGAGTGGTGCAGCAGTAAAACCCAGCACTCTGCAAGGCTGACCCATGTTGGAAGGTTCCAGGTTCAAGTGAGACTTCCCTGAGCGTGCCAGACACACCAATGCCCATGATCTGAGGCTGGCTGAAGCTGGGGTGGATAGCAGCATCGGGACCCCATTAGGGGTTACCTTTCTCTCTGTTTCCTTCTCTCTGTCTCTGTCTCTCTCACTCATGGAATAAATGAATAAACTTTAAGAAAGAAAAAGGAAAAAAGAAATGACAGGATACTAGAGGTCCAAGAAAAGGTCGATGCCACTGAGTTTAATGTTTAAAAGGAGCTCAGTGGTGGCTTTCTAAAGTGCAATTTGAAAGCGGACTGCTAAAAACAGGACAGGCTGTAAAGGCAAGATCACCACGGGGGAGTAACTTTGTCCCCTGCAAGATCCAGGGGGCAAGTTAGTTTGCTACTGGATTCCTGATGGGTGGATGTTTTTCAACAGGCTGAATATGCTCTCCACATTTAAAAATAGTCTTTGGCAACAGAAATCCAATGGTGAATAAATGAAAAAATTCACCACAGGAGCTTAGCAAACAGAAAACAAGGGGTGGGGATGACAACAATCAAATATTTTTCGAATCTATAAACTCCATTGATGACAGAAGTAGCAGCACATCGCTGCCCCTAAAATTCTCCAGTTTGCAGCATCATGCTCCAGACCGTCCTGACAAAGGGTCTGCAAACGTTCACCACCCGGAGGGCTTACTAGGACATGAGGATGCCCGTGCACACCCGTTCTTTCTGCCGAGTACAGAGGGGATGGGGAGGGTGGCCAGGAGTTCTCAAGTCTGTCCAGTCCACTGGGTGAAGCTGATGTACATTGAGTGCTCTTGTCATGCCTTCGGGTCACTGGCACTATTTTTTTTTTTTGAGAGAGATTTTTGCTATAGAGAGAGCATGTGCTCACCAGAGAGACAAAGCAAGAAATCACTCCCCAGGGGGCGTAGCCACGCTACACTCCCTTCTCCTCCATTTTCCTCTTGGGATTTTGAGCATGCACACACATGTGCCTGGCATGAGTTTTAACCCACCAGGTCCAGGACTGGAACTGTGGCTGACTACGTGAGAGTCCAGTGATGTACCCATTACGCCATCTATTGGTTCCACTTTTTTTTTTTTAACTTTTTATTCTTTATAGTTTTTTTTTTATTTAATTGTTGTAAATCTTTGTGGGGTGCAATGTGAATTTTCAAAGGATGTATAGTGTGTGATAATTGAATCAAAGATATGACCATATTTACTGTTTTCAATAAAAATATACATTATGATATGTACCTTCAATTTTTGCTCTATTAATTTTTCTTTTTTGAGAGCATTATATACATACGCAAGAAATATGAACACATATCTCTAGTGTTAACACATCTCATTTGTTGTTATTATTTTTTTTATTTGACCAGAGAGAGAAAGAGAGAGAGAAAGTGGAAGTGAGAACACAAGCCACTAGGTCCAAGACTTGACCCGCAGTTGGCCATGTGGGAGTCCAGCACCCCAACCACCTCACCATCTGCTGCCCCCCCTCCCAACACATCTCTTTTAACCACAGTTAAAAGACCATAGAGTGGAAATAAAATCCGTAGGTACAG